GGTTGGTTCACATGCAAAATAAATCAATGTGATATGCCATATTCATAGAATTAAGGGAATTTTTAAAAAACATGATCATCTCAATAGATGCAGAAGAAGCATTTGACAAAAGTGAACATGCTTTCATGATTAAAAAAAAAAAACTCAACCAAGAACAGAAGAAAACTTCCTCAACCCGATAAAGAACATTTATAATAAACCTACAGCTAACATTATATTTAATAATTGCAAGCTTTCTTCCTAAAAGCAGAAACAAGTCAGGAATGTCTACAATCACACCATTCTTAGTCAAGACAATTAGGCAAGAAAAAGAAATRGGAGGCATCCAGTTTGGAAAGGAAGAAGTAAAAGTCTGTTGTACATCACAAGATTTTGTATATAGTAAATCCTAAGGAATCTACCAAAAAAAAAACAAAACACCTATTACAACTAACAAACTAGTTCAGCAAACAGGATATAAGATCAACCTACAAAAGTTTTGATAGATCATAGGCTGGGGTTGTGACTCAGTAGTAGAAACACTTGACTAGCACACATGAGGCACTGGATTTGATCCCTAGCACCACATTAAAAAAAATTTAAAAATAAAGATWCTGTGTGTCCATTTACAGCTAAAAAAAAAAAAAGGTTGGCATATCAGCATACTTCTATATACTAGCAATCTAGCAATGAACAATCTAAAACTGAAACTAGGAAAATAATTCCATTTATGATAGCATCAAAAAAGAATCAAATACTTAGAAATAACAAAAGAAAGGATAAGATTCATACACTAAAAACTACACAGCACTATTTAAAGAAATAAAAGAAGGCCTAAATAAAAAGAAAGACATACTGTGTTCATGGATTGGAGAAATTCATATTAAGATGGCTACATTTCCCAAATTGGATCTACAGAAGAAGATCCAATGCAATCCCAATCAAAATTCCAGCTGTCTTTTGATTTTTTTTTTAAGAGAAACTAATGGGCTGATGCTAAACTTCATAAGGTAATGCAAAGGACTCAGAATAAACAAAACAATATTGAAAAAGAAGAAAGTTGAAGGACTCCTATGCTTGATTTCAAAACTTAAAAATCTACAGTAATTACAACAGTGAAGTACTGGCATAAGAACCGACATACAGATCAGTGAAACAATTTAAAGGTATAGAAACAAACCCCACTTGTACATTGTTGGTGGGACTGCAAATTGGTGCAGCCAATTTGGAAAGCAGTATGGAGATTTCTTGGAAAGCTGGGAATGGAACCACCATTTGACCCAGCTATTCCCCTTCTGGGTCTATTCCCTAAAGACCTAAAA